ACACACACACACACACACACACACACACACACACACACACACACAGACCTTCCATGTTGGTAGTTTGGGATTCCTAAGATTTAAAAATATTCTTCATCTCTTTGGAATGAAAATGGATTGAAAAGTGAAAAATTACTGTAGAAAAGGTAAAAATGTTTACAATATATTTACCTTTTGCAGTGATTTTAACTAAAATCGTTTCTCTGGGAGTAAGGACATTAGATCTAAGCTGAGCATACAGCATTTCTGGAGAACAGCTATGGTAATGGTAATGCAACCGTAAGGTCCCAAATCTAGACAAATGTATATGACTGTGTCGGGAAGGGAACCCAACAGAAAATCTAAGCCAAATCAGACATACAAATCACAAACAGGGATCTCATACCGAATCAGTCAAGACCCGGGTAAACAACGACCACCACTGGTGTTGTGGACCTACAGGACGTCGATGAAAATACACTACTGCTGGTCAAATTTGTTTTGTTGAATTAAAACAACAATGAAAAACCTCCGTTTAGCGTCTTTCTGTCTAATTATCTTATGTTATGGCCGTACATGCGCTGTGCGCCGGAGACCTGCATGCGGCTGCTGCGCAGCGGCTTGTATTCGAGTGCGGCGTGTGTGTAGAAAACCTTTTTTTTTTTTTGTTGGTGCGGCTTATATTGAGGTGTGCTCTATAGTCCGGAAATTACGGTAGTTTAAAAATGTTCTCTCACAGTTTTACCATGACCATATCGTCTTGTGATGTACTTCCTGTGCCTTTTCGGGTGCAGCAATCTTTACCAGAGACATACGCTATAACTGGCGCATGCACACTGGATCACCGCTCCAATACAAAGAATAGGAGAGCCATTAGGCACAGAGGTGGAGAAACCGGGTGCAGTCTCAGCTCAGCTCAGGATGTTCTTTTTTCTTTTAACCCGACGGACCCGGTACCAGATCCACGCACACTTCCGGCAACAAAGACGTAACAAAGTTGTAACAGAAACCTGTTTAATATTAACCAATATTTGCAAACTGCACAAATACTTAACAGGAAGAGGTTCATCTAAATGATAAAGCCCACGTTTTCCACCTCCGCATCATCCATTGCCAACAATAAGCAACAATATTCTGCTAATGGAAAAGCCCGTAAAAACACGCTAACTACACTGATGAAAAACACAGTAGCGACAATGCAAAATGATCCTATCCACAGGAGCAGCCATTTAAATGAAAGCCCAGACTCTCCTCTTTGCAACAATATAAGTACCATTACTCTACGTGCAAAACTCACAGAGCAAACTGCTAAAAAAGCATCAAAACAAACTCATTTCATTACATAAAAGGCGTCAATTCTGCCTACCTTTGGTTTATGGTCAGAATTTGTGATGTAGTAAAAGAAATTAATCCACTCGGTTTGTGTAATCCTATGTCCCAATAGCCAAACTGAGCTGAGTCTTGTTTTGGCCTGTTTGTACCTGCTGGAGAGTCTTTACAAATGTTTGAAACCAAGTTCCATCATTTTCTGGTTTCTGGTAATTCTCCTACTGTCATTGGTTTATGAAAAGTCAAACACAAGTGATTCTATTGGATCGGAGGTACCCCCCCAGGGGCTGAATCACTAAAATTGTCCAATTGGATCCCGAGATACTCTCCTGGGCAACAGAGCTTTAGCCAGTAGAGATGTGTCGGTCGCGAACGAACCGGCTCTAACAACCGGCTCTTTGAGGTGAACGACGGGAGCCGGCTCCTCATTGGGAGCTGTCCCCTCCCCCCTCCCCTCTTGCTTTGGTGAAAGCTACAGGCGATTGGTCAACATGTGTAACTGCGTGTCCAGACTGTCCACACACAGAGCAGTAGGGGCGGGGAAGAGGGAGGACCAGACTCAGACACACAGCAGAGCACATGCGGGTGGAGGGAGACGAGAGGGAATGAGGAGGAGGAAAAAGGCGAGCAAGAGGGAGGAGAGTGCAACGAAGATGGTGAGAAAATGAGCGCCAGCAGTCGGAAAGTGGAGATTTCTTAAAGTGTTCAGTTATTAAATCCATGGAAATGATACATATTTGACATCTTGAATTTTTTTTCACTAGTAAATTATTTTACATATAGTTTTGCATTATTGTGGTTATAAATGTACTCTACGCAACAGAAAATCTGAGGAGCCACTTGGGAGCCGAAAGAGCCGGCTCTTTAAAAAGAGCCTGAATTCCCATCACTATTAGCCAGTGCCCTTAGCCTATTTTACAAGTGATTTCAAAAACTTTATTTTTCACTAAATAATCTTACAAAGTTAACAAATATGGCTAGAAGGTTAGATACTAGTCCATGGAAGAAGTGTTAGTGAAATCCAAGTACACTTGGCGCAGGTGTGCCATTTAAGAAAGAGTGTCTGCATATAAACCTGTGTAAATTGTCGTTCTTCACCTTTTCAAACTCAAACTTTTACAGCTAATGTAAAGACGTAGGACTATGAATTCAGTAAAGTTCAACACTTTTTCCAAAGAAGTATTCATCCTGACATCTGTTTTTTTCAGGTGGCTGAACAATCTACTTCTTTACAATGTTCCATTTTCATTTCCACTCCATCAGTGCCATATATACATCTCAACAAATCCCACAAGACCTCCCTTTAAAATGAGACCAAGAGTAATGAAATAGACAGTGTGGTTACAGAGATGTACCCATTAAAGCGGGGTATTCAATTCCAGGCTTGGAGGTCTGTGTCCAGCACATTTTTGTTTTAACCCTGCTTCAACAAACCTCATTTCAGTCAGCAGGTGATTAACAGGCATCTGCAGAGCCTGATGAGCTGCTGCACAGGTGGTTCAAGTGTGCTGAATCAGAGAAACCACTAAAGCGTGCTGGATACCCGACCTCCTGGACTGGAATTGAATACCTCTGCATTAAAGGGTAGGCATGCCGTTTTAGAACAGTCTTCTCAAAAAAGCCTAGGGTACAAGAGACTAATTTATTTTTTATTTTAAACTCACCGTTCTTTGTTTTAGAGCAGCCGAGTACAGCTCAGAGTTTTTTTTTATTATGGATAATCAGAAAATGATGAAAAGTGTTTAGCCGCATGCTGTCCTTCAACCGCTGGCTGTCTAGGTGGTGTCCTGAAAACAACGTGGGCTACATTGATAATTGGAAAACTTTTTGGGGAAAACCTGGTCTGATGCGGAGAGACGGCATCCATCCCTCTTTGGATGGAGCAGCTCTTCTTTCTAGGAACATGGCCAGTTTTATTAGTCCTCCATGACAACCCAGGGTCCAGACCAGGAAGCAGAGTCGTAGTTTAACCCACCCCTCTGCAGCTTCTGTACTGTTACCCACCCACTACCCCATAGAGACAGTGTCCTGCCCACGGCCAAAATCACACAGATTAAATATCAGGCTTAATAAAGCAAATCATGGAAATCTCATAAATATTAGAACAAATTCAACTGAGCAGAAAACTAGAAAAATTAAATGTGGGTTGTTGAACATTAGATCCATTTTTTCTAAGACTTTGTTAGTTAATGAGTTGATTTGTGATAATCAGATCTCTTTGCTCTCTCTCACAGAATCCTGGCTGCAGCAAGAGGACTATGTTAGCTTAAACGAGTCGACTCCTTCAAATTATTTAAATCATCATATTGCTCGAAGTACAGGGCGAGGAGGAGGAGTGGCAACCATTTTCATTCGGACTTATTAATCAGTCCCTTACAGATTAATAGCTACAGTTCGTTTGAACATCTTATTCTTAGTTTTCCTAATCCAGATAGCAAAACTGTAAAACCACTCTTGTTTGTAGTTTTATATCGTCCACCAGGCCCTTACTCTGAGTTTTTGGGTCAGATCTCTGATTTTTTATCTGATTTGGTGCTAAATACTGATAAGGTCATTGTAGTGGGGGATTTCAACATTCATATGGACATTGAAAATGATAGCCTCAATGTAGCCTTTAGCAATATCTTAGACTCAATTGGTTTTACTCAAAGAATACATAGCTCCGCCCACTCCTGCCATCATACATTAGACCTTGTTCTGACTTATGGCATTGAGTGTGAGGAAATAACAATCTTTCCACATAATCCAGTCCTCTCAGACCACTTTCTGATAACCTTTGAGTTTTTTATAACTGAGTTCTCGAGACATGAAAGTAAATTTCACTATAGTCGGTCTCTATCCGACAACGCTGTTGCGTCTTTTAAATCAACTGTTCCATGTTTACTGTCCTCAGCATCTCAGAGGCATGTAGCAGAGGGCAATATTTTCATTTCTAGCCCTTCAAAAATTGATGATTTAGTTCATCATGTTAATTCCTCTTTACGTGTGGCATTAGATGATGTTGCCCCTTTAAAAACGAAGGTACTTAAGCACAAGAATTTGGCTCCCTGGTTTAATTCTCATTTACAAACTTTAAAACAAAACTCTAGAAAACTGGAGCGAACATGGTGTTCTACACACCAGGAGTCCTACTTATGGAAAAATTGTGACGGTAAGCAGCATCAAGTTCCTGGGAGTTCACATCTCAGACGACCTCACCTGGAGCTTACCTGGTCCACTAACACCACCTTCATTACCAAAAGCCCCAGTAGCACCTCCACCTCTCGAGACACCTGAAGAGAGCCAACCTCCCGCTTCCCATCCTCACTATAAGAGCATTCTGACCAGCGGTATCTCCATGTGGTTCGACAACTGCAGTGTTGGTGATCTCAGCAAACTACAGCAGATTAAGCAGCTGCCAAGGTCATTTGAACGCCTCTACCTCTATTACAGAACATTTACCACAACCGTTGCATCAGTTACCCCTAAAGCACACTGGAAGCAAAAGCGGCGCAGAACAACACCGCGTCAAGTAGAATATAATATACAGAGGCTATACAAATATACAGTATATGTGTGTGTGTGTGTGTGTGTGTGTGTGTGTGTGTGTGTGTGTGTGTGTGTGTGTGTGTGTGTGTGTGTGTGTGTGTGTGAGTGTGTTTTGAGGAACCCATAGAAAGACTCCTACTATCAGACGGATGAGCCATGCTTACCTGGAACAAAGCTGCCCTGCACCACCTCCTTGTACGCCCACCATCCTTCGTGGATTTTGGGTAAATGTGGCTGAGCTGTGGCATGAGAAGAAGACAAACAGGAAGTAAAACATGAGTTTTTTATGTCTGAAATTAGAATAAGTCTCATGACTGTCTCGAAACTAAAGCACATCCTGAGTGTCCATCTTCTGAAACCCGTGGTCCACACTTTTATCACTTCAAGGCTGGATTACTCCAACTCCTGCTTATATGGCATCAGTAAAGCATCTCTCTCTAGACTTCAGCTGGTCCAGAATTCAGCAGCTAGGTTGCTGACTGGAGCTGACAGAAGACAACACATTTCTCCAATTCTGAAATCTCTCCACTGGTTGCCCGTGCAGTTCAGGATAAACTTCAAAATTATGCTTCTCCCTTACAAATCCTTGAACCATCAAGCTCCTCCATATCTGTGTGAACTTGTCCATTACTACAACCCGCCGCGTGCTCTCAGGTCTGAAGATAAGCTCCTCCTAGCTGTTCCCAATGCACGTTTAAAAAGCCGTGGAGAAAGGGCTTTCTCTGTCTGTGCACCCAAGCTGTGGAACGCATTACCACTGCTAGTGAGGCTAGCACCAACAGCTAGCATTTTTAAATCACGCCTGAAAACTCACTACTTCAACCTAGCTTATACCACATAATTATGAACCTCACTTACATCTGCACTGTTTAAAAATGGACTTTACAATATCAACTTCCGTACTATTGAGGTTCTTTTTTTAAATGTTTTTCTTATTTTTTATAATCTCCCTGTGTTTTATTGATTTTTAGCTGTTAGTTTTGGGAATTTTGTTGTATTTCCTTTTTATCTTTTATCTGTGTTCGACATGTTTGTATACCGCCGGTTTAATTAACTAACATTTTTAGTGTACAGCGCCTTGTTTGGTTGTAATGCCTTGTGAATGCGCTTTATAAATAAAATTGGAATTGGAATTGGAATTGGACAGGGGGTGGTTAGACCAGAGATGCCCTCTATGGCTTTAATGACTAGAATGTTATTCTTCTTCATAACCTCAACTCAAACAGGAGGGTGGACTCGTGTCTTCCAGTTGTCCCGTTCACTTGACTTTAAAGCTATATTATGCAACGTTTTCGTATTTTAAATCATTTTTTGAGCCAGTTTGGGCTAAAATGAGCCTTTACAGAAATGTGCCTACATGAAATGTTTTGTGAAATGTCACTCAGACCCCACCACCCTCTGTGGCCAGAATACCACACTTGCAACTTCAGAGAGCCAGGCCGGTCAATCAAACAATCAATGTTAAATGGATGTGCAGATCAAGTCTATATTGAGTCTGTCCCAAACAGGACGTCCCTTTGTCCTGGTTTTTGTTAGCCTGGCCTGCCAGACTCGTCCTCTGTTTAAGTCTGCACAGAGAGAGAGTCTGGTAACTCACAGGCAGAGAGGCACACGGTGGCAGGACTAGCCAGCTCAAAAATAACCAATCAGAAAAACACGGAAATGCCGACTGTACCTCGCAATGCTGCAGTTTTTTAGCTGTAGTCAAAAATGGTGTCTGGCGACAGCGCTAACATCTTTCTTTAGAAGAAAGGCTTTTGGTGCTTCTACTTGTTGTGGTTTTAAGGACATGTCCAAGTCATTTAGACCATGTGGACGACAAACTCTGCGTTATGTTGTGTGACGTACGCTACTCAGCTCTGATTGGCTCGGTTAGAATGGGGTTATTTGAATAGGAGCGTTGCCAGACCCTTTCTCGGTGCAGAATTAAAGAGAGGAGGAGTCTGGCAGGCCAGGCTAGGTTTTTGAAGCTATTTGGGAAATTTCTACAGCCGACAGTTGAGTGAAGTCCTGAACTCCCACTGCCTGTGAAGGCACCCTGGTAAATGTAAAAATCACACGGGCCGAGTCATGTGACTGTCTTCGGCCAATCAGGCTAGACTGCAGACACTCTACAGATGTTTGGCTTTCAGGTTGTTTACAGTTGTGTTGTCCACTTCTGACACAAGTTATATGGCCGGCACCAACATTCTGTTTGTGATCGTAACCGTCGCACGTCACACACTGACTGCAACTGGTGAGTTGGGAGTGTTGAAATGCTTGTTATTCCATGTGCATGCCACTGCTAAATATTTACCTACTACCTACAGACAATCCCATGCCTTGTGTGTTTTAAGAACTGCTGTATACGTCTATGAAGGATGTTGTGTAGAAACGAAGTAAAAATGACACCCTGTGGTAAAATTTGATAACTGCAACTTTTAAAAGAAGCTGACAATCCAGCAGCCAGTTGGATATGAAACATGTTTCTGTAGAACCTTCCTTCCTAAACGACATACTGCACCTTAAGTTAGAAACACAAGTTATTAATACTAACTAAAATAGGTTAGCATGGTTTCTGAGTACGTAAAATAACATTTATATATAAAACACTTTTCCTAGGTAAAAACCACAGTCTGCTTCACAACAAAGTGAAAGAATTTCAAGACTAAAAATAGGAGAAACAGATAAAACTAAAAGAAAACTAAAACTTTGCTAAAACTAACAAAGAAAGAAAAATTAATTAAAAGCAAGATGAAAAAGCCACATCTTTTAAAGTTTCCTAAAACACAGAGATTACCGTGTTAGCTCTAATTAGTCATGTCTGTTAAACACAGACCAGCTGACCCCTGACAGGATGGCTGAACCATTGACTGCGGAGGGTGGGTGGAGCCCTAAAGCGGCACAAGAGAAATAAAATACATGGAAGTATTCTCTGTGCCCGGAATGCACACAACTGTTTTTCATGTGGTGCGATTGAACTGACGCTGATTTTCAGTGTCAATAAACTCCAGATTTTTGTTAAATAATTATAAAATGTTCAATGTGCTTTTTGTCCTTTTATTCACACCAGAACGTTTGACCTTTTCAGTCATTTTTAGGCATGGGAATTAATTGTGATTTGGATGTAGAGGGGCAAATGAACACCAATGTGGTGTGATGATGTCATCAGTATGCTAAACAGTGTTACATCATCTGGCTACATCTGGGTGACAACTTCAGCTACTTTCTGTTGGAGGGTTAGGGTTAGGATCAAGCCCCCACAATGCCGCTCTAAAAATGGTCCCATCCCGGAAGTAAGAAAAATTGCAGTTCCACCCTCATCCGCTAGGGGCTGGTGCCAGAAGCGAGCAAATCCTCATTGACTCCCATGTTAAAAATGCCGATTTCACAGCAGAAATAAACATGTTTACAGCCTGGTGCCAAAACATGTTTTTTGTCTAAATTATCTAGTTTATACTCATGACAACTCTGAGGGGGGTGAATTTTTTTCTCACTCTTCTGTTTAAGTGTATTGAAAGCCTAAAATTCTGTATAATTAATGAGCATCCGACACACGTGACCGCCGCCTCAGACCCACGTGACCACAGAGCTAGCTCCGTGGAAAGGCCTCAGTACAGCCTCGGCCCCTCCTGGAAGCTGTTTCGGGATTTTGAGTCTCTGTGCTTGTGAATTCTGTTTTGGATATTATTTGTGCAATTGTTGGACAAAATGACTTGCAGTGGTATTAATTGCACTAATAGAGCGTCCAAGGAGTCTCCACTTCATTTTTTTCGGTAAGTTAAAATCTATATTCGTATTTTATGTCACTGCCACCTTTAAACTAGCTGAGTTTACCGAAGTAGCTAGCTAACTATCAGTTTAACATGTAGCATGTACTGTTTAACCATGAAATTTAAATGTAAAATACGGTAAAATAATTAATAGGGCATATTTAGATGGGTAATATGGTAAAAGATCAAAATGGGTTGAAATATGACGGAGCGCTAAGAGGGAGACTTCTGTGTCCATTCTTCCACCCGGTAATCCCCAGCGGTCAGGCCGGGCAGCCTGACCGATCCGGCGCCTACTTGCTGCGCCTAGCTGCTGCGCGGGCTGACCGCTCGTGGAGCTCTCAGAGACAGATCTGACCGGAGAAATACTGCAGCTCGGTGAGAAGTCTATAGGGCATACAGCGTTTCCCTTAAATCCCACCGCCACGCCGACAAGATCCCAAGTTTCTTTGTTTTTGTTTGCGCTGTTTACCAAAGAAGCAGCGGGAACTAATATGTTGTTGCTTGTGATCACAGCCGGCGGGTAGCAAGTATGTACAGTCTATGATTTTACCGCTCCCTCCTGCAGTCTTCCCCTATTAAAATTTAAAATGTGTAACTTCATGTATTGGGATGAATGACTAATATTCATGTAAAACTAAAACGTTAGGTATTTAGGGGGAAAAAACAAAATAATAAACATTATACAGATGTCAAATAAATCAAACTGTAATTAAACTATATATTTTCAAAGTCTCGATTCTGGATAAAATCCAACAACATATGCTTTATAAATAAACACTACACATGGCTTTTACACACACACACACACACACACGTTACATTGTGATTTCTTAGTAAATATTCTATTTGGCGAGAGATAAACTTTATTGTATTTATCCTAGTGAATCTATAATTAAACGGGTAAACTAGCAGTAGTACATCCAACATCAAAGAAAGTAAAAAGTTATTATCAGGAGAGGGAGAATGTTTAAGTGGTTAGCAGCAGTGTGCTAGACGATGGCCCCCTCCATGAGGCCACCACAGTTCAGCAGAACATCGTTGTAGCTTCTTCTGGGGAGAAAAACACTTAGAGAGAAAATAAAGTTAACAGCTGAAATAGCAGGAAATAATACAGTTAAAGAGCAGACTGTAGAAGAAAGAAACCCCTGGGTTAAACTGGTCTGTCTACTGCATAATGCTGAACTCTAACATGTGTCCTCAGGGAAGGACCTGATTGGTGTCCAGAACCTGCTGAAGAAGCACGAGGCTCTGCAGGCTGAGATCACAGGTCATGAACCTCGCATCAAGGCTGTCACCCAGAAAGGAGAGACCATAATGGAGGAAGGTAGAGCAGGTCTGGTCCTGACATGTTTCTGAGGTGTCTGCAGGTTCTGGCTCACTTTGTTTGGGTCCAGGTCACTTCGCTGGTTCAGAACCCTCGGCCCGTCAGAACATTCTTATCCACCACGTTCTAACACCAGACCTGTTAACCCGACAGCAACAAG